AAGCATCTTTTACCAACAGCCAGACAAAAAGCATTCAAAAAACACTGTAACAACTTCACCAAATTATTTTCCGCTGGGTCCTCCGTGGCTCTGAAACGTTGGCATTACACCTCTCGGAGCTGGAGGAACAGATCAGTGCTCGTGCGTGCCGCTGGATGTGCGAGCCTTCACACGGGGTGCGAGTGCGATGGGTGACCGCCACCCCGCTGTGAGCCAGGCCGGGCAGCACACATCGTCTGCTGGGGAGACTGAAACCCCCTACAACACAGAGGGCTCAAACGGCCACAGCCACCTCCCACCACATGTTCTGGCCTGCCACAGAAGTTTTGTCTTTAGGTCCCTAAACGGGCTCCGCTTGGAGGTGAGCCGGGAGAAAACATGGAGCTCGTCCTGGCAGGAACGTGGGCTTAGAGCGACCGGTGACGACTACCCACCTAGCCTGATGTTTGCAGCGTGCAGCCTGAAGCACCATCCCACCCCAGCTCCTGTGCACGGCTGGCGCTCTCACCCCCCACCCCAGGACTGGTCTTGCAGTTTTATAGTCCCGGGCCATCTGCCACCCTCTCCTGCTTTAACCTGCCGCAGTATTTCTGCCCCACAGCAGCCACCTCCCTTCGTGACTTGGGCAATGGTGAGTAAGGAGGGGACGTTACGGGGAGAGAGGATGGAAAATGCACGAGTTAGGATTCCGCATGCAGTGGGTAAGGGAAGAAGAGGGCTGAGCAGCACTCGTTTCCTTGGGCACCAAATGAAGGAGCTGACTCAATTCTGGCTGGTTTTCCTTGTGACTGCCTTTTTAGGCTGTTACTCAGAGGTCCAGGGAAGGGTTCAGGAAAGGAAGTCCTGGCAGTTCAGACAGGCAGAGGCAACACCAAAATAAAAGAATAAGGCAGGCTGACAATTACAGAACGTGATCTCTCTGCATGCAGACAATGCCCAAGAGAACAGCCCCAGACTACGACATACAGAGAAGCCAGAGATGCCAGAGGTATTGGAGGCGATGCCTATGGAAAGCAGGGCAGAGGCGGTCAGTCTCCCATCTAACAAGGACATTCCTCACCGCACACGGGCTTTGTCACCTCACTCCACAGCCATTCTCGACCATCAGCCCTCCCTGGGACCTACGAACTCCTCATCCAAGTCTCCGCTTGGTCCTGTGCTTATTGGGTACGTGGATTCCCCAAGGGCCGAGGGAGAAAGTGAACATCTCCACGGGACACCTCGAGAGCAGGACATGACAGCTGTGGCCTCAAAACCCCAACAGAACGGTACCTATGGCTGAGCTGGGCTTGGAACAGTGCAAATGCCCATGGCAGGGGGATGGAACTAGATGATCTTCAAGGTCCCTTCCAACCCAAACCATCCTGTGATTCTATGATTCTAATCCCAACCCCTCCGCCCCTTCTTTCCTGCAGAAGCCAGTTCACCTGCACTCTCGGCTGGCAGCTGCAGCGTTTTTGGAGATGGCATGGCCACGTCTTCCCATCCTCTCAAACCATACAGGCCCTGGTCTGTGCTTCTTCAAGAGGAAACCCTCTGAGGAAGCAACCCCTCCCCTCCCCACACAGGGGCTCTGGCTGGGATTCTGTCGCTAAGGAGGGTTCCATGGCCACGTCTTCCCATCCTCTCAAACCATACAGGCCCTGGTCTGTGCTTCTTCAAGAGGAAACCCTCTGAGGAAGCAACCGTCCCCCTCCCCTTGATACCCAGCGCAGGGTTTTCCCTTCGTAACCGTCTGCATGAGGAATTCCTGCAAGATGCTTGGCAAGCCCGATCCCGACTCTGCCCAACTCCATTAGACATCATCTGCTCATGGACGTAACAGTTTGGTGGAGATGGTAAGCCAAATAGGAAAGGATTAAAATCCATCTTTTGCATCCATCGGTTCAGAGATCAGCCGAATTGTTCGGCCTAATGCGGCCGCTCAGACATAACCCACACCCTCCCCAGTAATGCAAGTGGTCCTCAGCACGGTCCTAAAATCAAAACAGCTCTGGGTTGGCTTTGACTTTGTGCCTTTTAGGGTTTTGTTGGTTTGATTTTGCCAACCCCAGTCTAGTCTGGTCCGCTCCCCCTTGCATGTGGACTGGAGAGAGGGACTCACCACAAGTTGAGCATTTTCAGGCAGCTACAGAGAGTGTAGAGAAAAAACACAGAAAGGAAGAAAGAGCAATTAGTTCACAGAGGTGGGATGAAAGCATGTCACTGCAGCCATGCAAACATGCAGTGCAGACTGGCAGACACACACCATGCCTGCCCGCCGCCCGCCCCCAGCCCTCATACCACCTCTGCCCTTGCCATGGTGCCGCTGAGAAGCGCCACGTTTTCCAGGGTCTGGAGGCCTCTGACAAACACCCCCTATTTTCCAGGAAGGCACCAGCCCCGTGAGGCTCTTATCTGGGGCTGGGATCAGACAGGGGCTTGGGACCACCAGGAGAGGAATCTGCTCATGTCCCCTGCAGCTTCAGCGACAGAAGGGCCAGGTCGTGGAGCCACGCCTGGGACCGGCCCTCCAGCAAAAGTCACGGCCAGGATCAGGAGCTTGTCTCCAGCGCACCCCAAAGCAGAAGCATTCACACAGCTCCTCTGCCTGCCCGGAGTGCCAGGGAAAGACCTTTCTGCTACTGCATCTTGTCTCCAAACTGAGAGCCCCAACTCCAGCTTCTTCTAGCGCTTTCTGGCCCACTTTACTCCAGAGCAGAATCCAGAAGTCCTTTGCCCTTCATACATATCTGTGTGGATTTAGGATCACAGATGCAAGGGAAGATGAAGTCAGCCCACCCTGTGGCAAGAGGAACAAAGTGGACTACACTGGGGAATTACAAGACACCCCAAACCTGCCAGTGCACAGCAGCCCGTGCTCTGCTCCCCAGCACCTCCAAAACTGATTTGTGACCATACCAACAGGGGCTGGAGGGAGACAGAAGAGTTCCATGTGTTGTGAGACATGGCTTGGGAATCACAGCCCTTGCATGCTCTGTTTCACCTGTCTTGACACTCCCCCTGTTTGGGGTCTGGACGCCGGCCTTGCTGAACAAGGCGCTGCAGAAACAGGCTGAAGGTGGTCCTGACTTAAATGCTGGCTCTTCCTTGCACTGGGTTGTTGTATCGGGCACTGTTAAGGGTGGGATTTCGCCCTGTCCTTCCTAGGAGCAACCCCAAGCCACGTGCCTGGGGTTGACCCACTTTAATCTGACCAAGAGAGAGCCTGTGACGCCAAACTGGTGGTCTCTGCATGCCGCACTACCCATGCGTAAGAGGAGTATTGCCCAATCCGCAAGCTGCGCCTCAGGATCTCCCCCACCCCACCGTACTTGATGAGGAGCCTGCACCAAAACCAAGGCTCGCTCCTTTGGCTGGGAGGAGAAAGCGTTTCTGTTGCTTGGGTACGTTGCTGTCAGGATCACAGCCAGGCCAGGTACCAGCGAGCAAGATCACCCGCAAGTGCTTCCCGAGGAACAGAGGAATAGACAGGAGAAGACCTTCAGGACAACCAGCACTGGCTTCAGACTGACGCATGCTTAGGGAGCATCACACACCCTTTCTCACGCCTGCCAGCGTTCCTCCTCACCCTCCCACACGCCGTTCCTAACAGAAGTTCCCACAGAGGCCGAGACAAACAATGTGGGACAAGCAACGCCGGTGTCATCCAGGCAAATTATAACCAGGCAGTTGGGCAACGGCACCAACCAGTTCAAAGGCAGCCCCCGAGGCCTATTTACCCCGCGCACAGGGAGTGTCAGGATTCGACTGTGACCTGCGAGTGTCCTGGTCTAGTTCAGAGGCAGCGAGAAGGCCCCATGTTGAGGATCATGCAAAAGGTGACATGATGGTGCCAGGTGCAGCACATGTGCAAAGGAGGCCGAAATGGTCAAAGCAGCAACTCTGTGCATCCGTTCTCACTCCTGCCCACAAGCTACAGAGGAGAGGTCAGCTCAGAGGGAGCATGCTCTTCCCCCCGAGCAGGAGGGCTGCTTCTGGTTTCTCTCACTCCGCTTCTGTTGGGCTGGTCCGTGAGGACTGACAGAGAGAACTACCTGTCCCTGCAAGGGTTACTTTTGGACCATTCTGAATACCTGGCATCACCTCTTGCAGCCAGAAATAAAAGTGTTAACTTTCAGACCCACAATCTCTTCACTGAGCTGTGCTCAAGCTACTCCTACACTCTCAGCACGTGAGTACAGCGTGTTCTCCTTTTGGAACAGGGGAGGCTCACCGGGATTCCTGAAATCAATTCACATTATCTTGGTATCTGTGCTACTGTCTATCTTGCGGTACATGCTCTGAGTCAGAGTTATGTTCTCCAGCCATGACAGGTGTGAAAAAGAAGCAGCGGCAGCACTGAAGGCACCATGCACAAAAGCAGCAATATGCAAGGACAAGGGCATGGGACACGAGCATCGAGTACTTCACCACAGGTAAACATCCCCACTCGTTTCCCCGGAGGAGGATCGAGGACCACACCAGTGGAAAGCCTGTTTGTAAAGCAAACGTACTTAGCTTCCTCCACCACCTCCACCTCCGCCTGCGCTGTTATTGGTGCGTTGGAGTGTGCCCCCGTCGGGTCGTCCACGTTCAGCTCCCCATTGGTCGAGCTCACCACCTGAAACACAAGTGAACACCCCGTTAACGAAGCCCCCTTGCACGTGATGCATCTCCACCCACCAGGACAAGGGACGCTGTGGGAATGAGAAACTTGTGGAATGACTTCCGCTTGCTCCTGTCTCTTTGCCACCCTCTTAGCAGGCTGTCAGATTCCTTGGATGCCTTTGAATCATGTGCCTGGTTTGGAGAGACCAGCTGCTTGATCCCAAGCAGAAGAGCAGACAGGGGACGGTGCTCACTAGCTCACACTCCTGTGCCCAGCGCAGGTCTTGCATCTTTGGGAGGCTACACAATTTGGGAGGCGTAACCCCAGCGTGACAGACCTATATACACACCAACTGCATTATGTTCATTGTTTTCTCCTGACACTTTTACAGGCGAGCGACTCAGTCCTGCTGCCTGCCAGTACTGTGGGACGAAGTCACTCCAGAGCCCCCAGAGGCTTACTCCTTACACAGACAGTTTCTAGAATTACATCTTCACCCGAAAGCTACCGATACGGTCTCTCATCTCGTTCTGCTTCACGGCTGACATTACGGCTTACTTCAGCATCTCCGTTCTAAGGATCACCATCCAAATCCCCAGCTGCTACCAGGTCTGCATTCGCCAGGAGAGCACCTAATTTTCTGGATAATTCATCACTGCTATTGCCAAAGAAACCTGTGTGGGACCGAAGTTCGGTCGGCCCTTCCGCACTCCATCTGGAGGGTAGGACAGGTTGCTGCGTGTTGCTGTGAAGGCCTGGAGCTGCTCGCTTGGTTCCCTTCCTGCTCCACCTCTTTGCCCTTCTGCAATGTAAAAGGAGGTATTTCCCATGGCAGGGGGTCAAGGGGCTACCCAGTCTTCCCGGTGGCTCTGGATGACCTGCCCACCAGAGCTGAAGGGAAGGAAGCCACTGCAGCAGATGTCCTCCCACCATTCAGTGCATCCATCCATGTTTGTTTCAAACACTGAAGTTCTACCAGCACCCGCTGTTTCTGCAGCTCAAGTTCTGTCGCCAGTCTCTGCCAAGACATGTCAGGACTCGGCTCACGTGGTTTTCAGAGCTCTCGTGGAGTGACAACCCCTTGGGTTCCCTTTGCACTGCCCTTCGCAGGCTCGTCACACTGCAGGCCCAGCGAGGTTATCCAGACCCTCACACTTCCCACACGGCTATGCTAGCACCTAATTGTGCTATTCCCAGTGATCTTCCCACACTTTCTCCAGCTACTTTTCAAATCTCATTTTACAAAAGGCTTTGATTTTCCTCCTTTTTTTCCCCTTACATGCTGCCACTTCATTTTCATGTGGCAAATTCAACCGTTGCCTTAAAGGAAACGGCCACTTGAAGCTACTGACCTCCCGAGGGTTCAGCATGAGCTGGGCGTCCGTTGAGAAACAATTTAAACGGCTGCAGCCCAGCAGCCACGCACAGCAGCAGATTTCCTGCTCTTAGCTGCAGAGAAGCAGGATTTTAATGCTTCCAGTGGCACACAGAGGCTCGCAAACTGCACAGGTAGGCAACGCTCCCTGCCCATTTCAGACTAGGATGGCCTTACTCCTGTAGCTACTCTGGCAAAGCACCGTTTGTGGGGAGACAGCTCATGCTGGCTTTGGGCAAGGAAACTATTCGCAGTACGTAGAACAATACCAATCAAACCCCACACTCTGCACTTACACAGAGCTGAATTCATAGAATGGTTTGGGTTGGAAGGGACCTGCGGAGATCATCTAGTCCAACCCCACTGCCATGAGCAGGGACGTCTTTCACTAGGTCAGGGTGCTCAAAGCCCTGTCTAACCTGACCTTGAATGCTTCTCCAGTTTACTGTCTGCTCAGATCCCAGGTCAGAGCTACACATAGATTAGTTCCTCCTTATCTTTCAGTTTCTCTGCTACTCAGTAAAATACCTTTAAATGAAAAAAGGAACGTGGCTAATCAAGCCAAAAGTTCATTGACTCCAACCAAGTATCAGGAATAGCTAATATTTTCAACCTAAGCAGCATTTCACTTGGGGCATGCTGCACTTCCCGTCCCCTCAGCTCAGCTCTGTCCCAGGCACTAATCCCCATTTCACCAGAGCCAATTTCAGAGTGTTGTGTCCGACACCGGAGCCGGCTCTCGCAGGCAAACCTCTGCCAAAGACCTCACCTCGCCAGCACTGTTAGTTCTTGTTTGCTGGAACGACACTTGCTCTAGCACATCCAGCCACCCTGGCACTAGAGCAAGAAACTCCCTCAGCGAGCCTGAGTGACCACCTGAGGCAGGAATGGTTTCATGAACAGGATTTCAGGGATTTAAAAAATTTAGCTGTAGTGCCACTTTTAATGCTGTTTGGCATTGTCGTGCGTTCTCTGCTCATCCAGCTCGCACAGTGCAATCACCCAGAGATCCACCCTGCAGCCACCATGCCCTTACACCTGCGCTGGTGCTGGTGCAAAACGGGGCACGGGCACCAGGGAGCAAGAGAACAGGGTCACCACATCTGAAGGGAGAAGTGGCTGTACAGCCTACTCGCTACCCTGTGCACTTCCCCGGTCCGACACTCCCAGATTTCCATGAGGCTAATTCAACTAGAACCTCGCAAGCTTGAACTGGAACAGCTCAACTCTTTTCCTAACATTTATGAGGTTTTTGTGTAACAGACCTTATTTCAGCTGCCTCTTACTAAAGAACATCCCCAGGGTGGGGACAGAGGGGTGCGTTACAGACCAGACCTGCTAATATACATTCCTTTCTGTGTTACATTTGACAAATCCTGAGTTCAAAATAGCTCCCAGAGGAAAAGCTTTGTTGAAGCGGTAACGGCGGTGGTGTTGGCCATCACAGCTTGGGTCCCACAAAACCAAGGCTTGAGCATTACCTAGAGGACAGGACCAAACCGGCTTGTTTGATCGCTCCCCTGACCGTAATGGTACTGCAATTTGAGGAGAATTGAGGGGATTTAACGCATCGAAGCTGTACACATCAAGAGGAAGAGGTACCTGTACTGATCCTCCGTGTCGATCTGCAGCCAAATGAGATGTCAAGTACGAGGTATTCGTCTGCCGGCTTGGCTGGATCTCCCACTCCCCTCGGCGATCTGATGACGCCTGATCACAAGTTCAGAAGCACGAGAGAGACAGAAGAGAGGGCAAAAGGTGAATGAGGGGAAGAAATAAAAGGATGTTTGTTAGTGAGTTAGTTTCTCTGCAAAAAGCAAGGCATTTAAACTTTTAGCTGGCCTAAAATTTCTCTTCACAAAGTGCACTTCATACTTCACTTCAGCAGTGTCTGCAGTAATCCACTGCAGGATGACTTCTCTGCTAGCTGCTAAACCAAGGGAAAGCTCAGATCTATTCAGGAAGTTATGTCTTTACAGGCTTCATTTCCACAGGTTTTGGCATAGAAATAAGCACACCGAGAGTATGCTCAGCTACGTCTGTCCGGTCACGCACACCAGAGCACTTGGCACGGCAGCAAGATTGGATACACAAGCTCAACCTCCCCAAAACACGTTTTATTTTATAACTCAAATTTGCAACATAAAAACAAAGCCACGTCTTATTTCACCAAAAGCCAGTTCCACACACTGATTCACCTGCACAGTGCTGAAGGAAACATCCACCACACCTGCTTGACTGGAGAGAGGGTTGGTGGCTTTTTGGTTTTCTGCAGAAAAGTAGATAAGAAACTTTCGCTAACAGTTTCTTCTGTATCCCCAACAGATGCAAACTTCAGGCAACTAAATTATTAGCGTGCACACACCTGGCAGGAGGGATGCTGAACAGGGAATAAACACCAGGTTATCAGCAGTGAAGCTAAGGGAGCTAACCCAAGAGTGGTGCCCAGGCCCTGCCCTTCCCCAGCACTGCTTCGTGTCACAGACCATGAGCCCGCGCCCTGGTCTGAGCAAGTCGGAAGCCACAGGACTCACTGCCACCACAAAAGCAAGGAAAAAAAGAAAGACTGCAAGCAGCTCCACACAAGAGAAAGGCCTCAAAAACTAAACTTTGACACTAACCAGCAAATTGTTGTTTAACTAGGAGCACCCGCAAGAGGAAGCGGAACAAAAACCAAAGTCTCCCGGCATTTCATAAAACATTCACTATTGTTCCCTTGGCACACGACCTCTGACTCCCTCCTGGAGTGCCTGACCCACAGTGCTGCTCCTCCTTCCAAGAAGGCACCAAATCCAGACCCTAGGTAGCATTTCCCTAGAGGTGGTCTTGTCCAGGCTTCTCCTATTAAGTCTCCTTATTACACATTCCTCCCGACAGCCTGAGACGCTGCTTACGCCTTCTGTACTTGGTGACGTTCAGAGGAGAAGCACTTCTTTGGAGTATTTTATTAATGGCTGCAAGTCACAAGATTACAAACAACTGGAGAATTTAAATGTAGATTTCAAAAGCTACTAGAAGACAGATTTTTGAGTGCTGCTTCTTCCAAAGCATTACGCCATCAGATTGCTTGAGTGGCCCAGGCGATGAAGCAGTACCACGCTACGTCAGTGATGTCAGGAGAAGCAAGCTTCCGCCTAGGAGCCTGGAAGCAGTCTCGAGGAAAGGCTTTAGCAGCCACAAGAGCCAGATTTTTGTCTTTTAGCCCTATATCCACGTACGTGACAAACTGGTTTTGAAGCAGGTTTGAGCTGAGCTGCCCAAAACGCAACCCGAGCAGAGACATGAGGAAGGGAGACCCGTGAAATTTGAGAGCATCAGGTTCCCCTTAACACTCATCACCTTCCTCCCAGCTAACCGACTGCCAGACAAGACTGGCACCTAAGGACACGGGGGGCAGGGCCCACCCATCTTCGACAGACAGGCAGAATCTGCACTTCCTAGAGGAGAAGGCTCCAGAAAGGAGACCAGCCTCTCACCAGCAGCTTCACTGGAAACCAAATAGCATAAAAGAGAATCTGCATTGTTGCACTTGGGAACAAAAATAAGGCAATTAAATCTGGAGATCAAGGCAGTCACTTGACCCAAACCCACGCCTCCAATTCACTGCTCCAGACGTTTATTTTTTCTGCTTTTTCCTTTAGAGAAATGATTTGCTCAACATTTAAAAGCAACATCCCTCAGAAGAGAGTTGTTTATGTTCTGGTGAGAAGAACCTGATCTTCCCTGTGTACTGGGAATATAATTCAGCATCCCAAATAACGGTTAGGTAAAAAAACCACTGACAAAAGCTGCCATGCAACACAGCACCAGGACTATCCCATACGCTCAGAAGAACAAGGACTGAAGGCTGCCTGCATAGTATTTTGGGAGAAGGACCGATTTCTCTGGGCTACATACTATAATTTGTGAAGGAACATGCTTGAAAATGAAGCCAGGCGTCATTGTCCGAAGGAAACAAGATGCCTCATACGCACGTGGCGTGAAGGTCTGTCGTCAAAGCAGACAACTAGAGACTGCCACCCACAAAGGGGGGGTTAATGCATTAATCAGGCAACATACTAAAGCAGATTATTTCACTAGTACTCACAGACCAGTCCACACTACTGAGCATGCATAAGTACAGTACCGCACACGTGCTCCAAACAATCCCGCTTCCTACAAGCGCCGCGTCTAACGTGGGGCATCCACCCTGATTATAGCTGATGGCTGGAGATGTATTCTAGTCTACATTAGTGGCTCTACCATACAAAGGAAAGCTGAGCCCAGACAGGTTATTACATCTCACACCTGATTCTGCACCCAGGAACCCCAGCTCCCGTGAGCTGAGTGGGAGCAGAGCTGGCAGGCAAGGAGCTAGAACGGCACACAGCGGTTAGAGGAGCAGAGCGAGCCCAGAACCACTCACTGGGAAGCAAGAGCACCAACAGCTCTAGCTAGGAGCCGGCAGTTGGAGATCTACTGGACTTCTGATCAGTTCTGTTAATACAGAAAATCCAACCTCTCAACACCAACAAAATATTACAACTAGAAAGGAAAAAATGGGGACATTCAAATTCAAAAACTGTCAGTTCATCCAGATCGTGATGCCCAGCCTTCCCAAGGGACCCTATCCTAGCAGTCATTCATGCTCTGCAACAATCATGCCGTGAACTGGACACCCAGAGAAGGATATACTGTGCCTACACGGGACACACATCCTTATTGCAGCTCCACGGTCCACGGGAAGAGGGCACTTGGGAGCAGGCTGCCATGGCCACAGCTGCTGGTCTACTCCACCGTCCGTCCCTGTGCTATGAGTAAAAGCACCCAAAAAACCACTGTTGGCCAAAGTGGTCTGGTAGTCTGACCAGGATGGAGAGTAGACTTAAACAGCTTACCCACAAACTACAGAAAAATGACCCATTCCAAATTGTACTCCACTTGGTTCACAAACCTGAGGAATTCCACTGGCCAATACAGTATTTCAGCAACCTGTTGCTTTGACAAAATTCTGCTCAAATCACAATCCCTAAATTAAGCAGGAACTGCGCTTGCTGTGACCAAGGCACGAATCAGCCCCAGTTCAAGAGGAATTCAGAGAGTGCCAAACAACACGGCACTGCCGAAGGAGTTGTGAGCAACGCACCTGATTGCGAAGGGCCTGCTGCGATGGTCGATCCCTGTGGATGTGGCTGTCTCTTGTTATTGCAGATGTTCCAGAATCTACGTGAACAGATCCCACCGGAGTAGGCTGGAAAACAAGGCATTTGTTGGGATGAAGCCAGTACTGAAGATGATGCTCCCTCTCCCAACACACGCACGCACAAACCCAACTCGTCAGGCTGGCTCCCATCGGGTAGAAGCAACAGAACATCAAACACTGCCCAAAGGTACTGATGATAACCAAGGAGAATTACAGCCAGGGCTATAAAATCCCCACGATTTGATGGGCGTGTGATCTGATGCTGGTCAGCAGCACCAAATGTCTTGTATAAAAATGAGTTAGAAAGATGTAGTTAGGTGTCTGCATTGCTGTCGGATGACACCTAATGTGTCTCACATAGGATTTTCACAACTGAAAACATACATCCTTGTTTTCCTCACCATCTTGCCACTTTTAAAAATCACGCTTGCATGGAAACAAGACGCGTTAAAGCTTCATCTGCTCTATTCTCACCAAAGTCATAATCCCTGCTCACAACTCAGAATCTCCATAGCAACCGCTGCCGTTGTCAGCAATAGCATGCTTGTCTTACAAGGTGCTTTGTATCAATTGCCTTTGTAATTAAACAAGAATGAGGAGAAAAATCATGATTCACAAAGGGAATGATTTCTTATGAAGATGAACTCTTTTGGGCACAGTAAACATTGGCAATGCTGAATATAGTCGGGAGGGTAAATCACTGGCAACGGTACCAAGTTTAGCACCGAAGGCATTTGATGTGGCATCAGTGACAATCAATCTAGAGGTGCCATTGCCGGTGTGCGGCGGTGGGCATTAGCAAGAAGGCTATCAGCAGAATGACACAAAACGTAAGCGACAGGCAGCCAGCGGAAGAGCTTTAGTCTTTTCTGTCAGATCTGCCCACGACACATCTTTTGGCCACGGGCTTCTCCAGTATAAATGGCTTTTGACAATAGACGTGACACAACGAGATCACAATTATGGTCCATCTGGTGTCATGGAACTGCTACATGGAGCTTGGTTACTCCCATATTTCCTTGGGCTTTTGACAACAGACGTGACACAACGAGATCACGATTATGGTCCATCTGGTGTCATGGAACTTGGTTACTCCCACATTTCCTTGCCATGTGCTATAAAGGGCTGGTTCAGCCTCCAGAGGAGGGTAAGCTCTAAGATCTTTTGAGCTGAGACCTGGTTTGCTGTTACCATTCACTGAGCATCCATCAGAGCCCTGCCCAGACCTCCTGTAGGTCTCCATGAGGACTTGACCATTACAGAGGTCTTCCACCATTCAGTGCTGAGGCAGCAAGCACGCTCTCCTGCTTGAAGTCCAATGTCTTTAGATATTGGTCCCAAATCCTGTGCTAGACGAGAGACAAGTCTACTCGTGTTCACTACCTCAGGTGGGAAAATGGGGTTTGAATGCTCCACGAGGGCAAGCCCAAAGAAGTGGGAAGGGGCCTTCTGCCCCTGAGGGGAACTTCAGGGCACTGCAAGAGCTCCCTGAACAGAATGTCAGGACATCTCACTATGTTGAGTCCATGCTAACTAGAGAACAGAAGTGAAAGATTTGATCCTAAGCTCACTGGCATCAATTGGGATTATCGGGAACAAAAAGCCAGGTGGTGGGGGAAGAAGCACCTGGAAGGCAAGGCACTGCATTTTGCAGGGACAACTTACAATTGGCCTGCCGACCCAGTCATAGGCGTAGTCAAAGGTGTAGCCTTTCTTTTCAAACAGCTCTGTGAAGATGGTTCGTAAATAATCGTAGTCTGGTCTCTCAAAGAAGTCTAATCGCCGAACATAACGGAGGTACGTGGCCATCTCCTCTGTTGGAGAAGGGGAAAAAAGCAGCAGTGTCAGTTCTGCTCACATATGAGCTCCACCACTTACAAGCCTCTCAGAGCCCACACACACACTGGAAATACGCTTTTCAATTCAACGAGGCTTTCCATGGCACTAGGCTCAAGGTTGGTGCTTAAAGTTGGGCTGAGGGACAGATTGCCAGTGCCAGGAGTTGTCCAGGCTCTGCTGAGCCACAGAGTTTGACAGAAGCCGAGGATATCCAACAAGTCTTCACCCTCGGTGACCTACTCAGCAGACTTCTATTGCTAGATGAATCTCACTCAGCTTTCCAGAGCCCTCCTGCCCTGCTCAAAGTCTAATAATAGTCTGCTTTTATTCTGAATGGGTTGTTATAAACCAAGGTCTGTGTTCTAGCACATCACGCTGTGAGAGAATTGCCTGGGCCGCTGCTGCTACCTCTGGCTTTGCCTGTAAAAGTAGTGGGTTTTAGCAAGAGTCCACAACGCAAATCAATTCAAACACTTCTCAAGCAAAGATGGAAGTCCCACCTCTGCTCCAGAGAGCTGCTGCTCCACCTCAGATGCGAGTTCCACAGCTATTCTATACATCTGTATAAAACCAAACACTAAACCAGACTGTACAGTAAATGCCAACTCACTGAACCTGCCATGTGTGTGTCTGCTCACACAGACGTTGAAAAGAGCCACAGCGTTTCATCTGGGGAAGGAAAGCAGGAGATGTTGGTGGGCATCCCGTGGCGCCCCTGAGCTCCAGCAACAACTAGGGTATGGCTGCCCAGAGCACTGTGCTGCCCAACGTCATTACATCAGTCACAGCCTTGAATACCTGGAGAAGAGGAGGCTCCGAGGAGACCTTATAGCACCTTCCAGTGCCTGAAGGGAGCTACAAGGAACCTGGGGGGGACTTTTTACAAGGGTCTGTAGTGACAGGACAAGGGGTAACGGGTTTAAATTGAAAGCGGGGAGATTTAGATTAGATATCAGGAAGAAATTCTTCCCGGAGAGGGTGGGGAGGCACTGGGACAGGTTGCCCAGAGAAGCTGTGGATGCCCCATCCCTGGAAGTGTCCAAGGCCAGGCTGGATGAGGCTGGGAGCAACCTGGTCTAGTGGAAGGTGTCCCTGCCCATGGCAGGGGGGTTGGAACTGGATGGTCTTTAAGGTCCCTTCCAACCCAAACCAGTCTGTGATTCTATGATTCTACTGAAACCAAGACTCTGAAGGAAGGCTCCAACGTTAATTTACCTGGCGCACACAGAACAGTGTTTGGTGTGAAGGTAATGAATTGCTTTCCTGCATACACAGAGAACATATCATGGATACACATCATCCAAATACTTTCTGCCATCATCGTTAACAAGGTATGTCCAACTGCACTCAAGTGGTCCCATCAGGGCTTTACCTGGAAAGTTCTCACAGAGAACTTCAACCGGAGTGTTTCTCTTTGTGTCCCCAATCTTCTGATACCTCTCTTTTAAGGTGTCAGCCTGTAGCGCACAAAGACAAAACAGTTGTGGAGAAAGAGTTCAACCATGTGATAAACGACATGCTGTATGGGGAGAAAAACAAGGTATTTAATACCGATTCTGGGTGGTATCAGAAGACGTTACTTGTAACTGAGCTGCATCCTAGGCTACACTATTAGGAATGCTGTCTTACCCTGCTGAATCCTCACTATACATTCCATGTGCTATCAGTGAAGAACATCCAGGGACACATTCAAAACCTCTGCAGTACTCGGAAGGAAGGACACCTGTTAGTGTCTTACAAGGCCAATTTCTTCCCAGCCCAGTCCTGAGGACCCTACAGGGAAGCCTTCATGGGACAAGAAAGCACGGCTGCACATACCATGGCTGCACATCAGCATCCTGTCCGAGGCTCAGAGCCATCGTCAACCAAAAACTGTACAGTTACTCATAAATAACTGTAGAAGTAGGTAAATCACATGGGCAATTTGGGTTTTACTGGGTATAACAGAATGCCGCCGCATAGATAACTAGTTTACATCAGTCACACTTCTCCCAAATCTCGTGCTACTCCCATACTGCCTCTCCTTTCACCCCCACAGCATCTATCACTTAGAGAGCCCTAATTAAACAGCTGGCCATCAAGAAAAAGGAAACAGTTTTCAGTTAGATTTCCCAACTAAATCCCTCTTGAAGCAGAGAACTCTGCTTCAGTTGGCACCCCAAGAACAGGCTTTATTGCCACCATTTCAAAATACGCCAATTAGCCCTGCCAGCAGCATAATTAGCATCATTAGATGTTCGCTTAACACTTTAGTACTGACAGCATAGGCCAAAAGTGTAAGCTTAGAGGAATGAAGATGCCACGTTCTAGATCAAGCTAAAGAGCCTGGAGCTAAAAAACCGCAGGACTTTAAGAGCAGTCAACTAATTCTTATCAAGTTCAGCACTGAACTGAGGAAATTTTGTCTAAACCTGGAATTACTTTAGAGTAATTTACAGGATTAATTTAAAGCAGATGAAACAAAAGATGTAATTCTAAGCCAGAAACAAAATATGTACTAGAATAACACACACTTACAGAGGTGTGAACTTAAAGTTGGAGAGATTCTGATTTCTTTCACAATCACTTTAATACTTGAAAAACCCTTTATTTGCTTTTATGAGTTGCTGCCAACATTCCTGGCACATGTCTGATAAGGCTGAGCTGAGGCTAACTCTGCACAGCTGGTGACAAAGCACCTCAACAAGGCCCGTCACGCGAGACACTGCCACTGACCATAGCAGCGCTCTGTTTGAGCGGCCTGCAAGCGCAAAAGCTGGCGTCCTTTTTCCAGCGGTGCTACCTGGTCGAACAGGAGTTACTGTCTTCGTTAATAAACCTTCTAACCCGGTCAAATTCAATCCCTTCAGCTGCTGCAACTCCAAGGCTGAACACAGCAGCTTAATCAACAGGAAAGCGGTGGAGAAGTGAAGATGCAACTACCAACAGCTTCAGAGCCAGCAGATGACTTACTACTCGTTAATTCAGCTGACGATGTTGCTGTAACTGAATTGCTTGCAGCCCTCCACACTGCACATGACATTTCATAAACCTCTAAGCACTGAGTGTCCAGTGTCTCTGGCTCAATACTTCTGCCAAAAAAGCAGTTTTTCAAGCTGAAGTCCATCTGCACGTCTAAAACCATCAAACTGCTCCTGCTGTAAACACATTTCACAGATGCAGCTGCGGGACTGTGTGCCGTAACTGGAATTTCATAAACAACCACTCTGTTCCAGTCGCGCTCCAGCTCAGGGCAGCTTCACGTTACAGCAAAGCTGCTCCAGCGGCTCGAGGGCTCTCGTGTTGCTGACCCCCTCCCAGCTGCTCAGCTGCCTCTGCTCAATCTTCTCTCCAGACATGCACCAATTCAGCTAAGCTAATGGTAACTCGAAGTGACACGTAACGTATTTCTATCTTAAAATCTTTCCTGTAAGTCAAGTTAATGCCTTGTCGTTGGACTTTAAGGACACAAAGGAGAGGACAGCGTTTCTGATTGGATTTTGCACATGCTTCGCCCATCAGATTCTCATGTGGGCAGAGACCAGACAAAGTTTCAAAGGGCAAAACCTAAAGCTCGAACCTACCTTCAATCCTTGCCAGGGCAGACTGCCTCGAAGGAAATACATAAACATATGGCCGAGGGCTTCCAAGTCGTCTCGACGACTTTGCTCTAGAACAGAAGAGATGACAAATCATTGCTGCAGCTGCAGAAATGCATCTGAGAGCAGCCACACTTATTAGATAAAATTATCACAAGGAAGTTCACCTGCTGTCTGCAGCTCAGACCTTGTGCAAAAATACCTAGAACCTGTTCCCAAAAAACCATAAAATACGTAAAGAAAAGATCAGGTAGAAGGCAAGAGGAGTGGCAACACATACTGCCCAGCCTTCGGCAGAACAGATAAAAGGTGGGAGTATTATTTGTGGAGGAATAACGCAGTTCCCCAGTTCTTCTCCGGACTGCAGCGCCGATGGTTCAGCTGTGATGTGCTGCTGGATTATGTTATTCCCTCTGAGCTACGCAGGGCAGGCTTGCAACCCGCCGCAGGGAACTACCATGTTGTACCGTGCCAACCCTTTCCCAATTGCTTCTCCTGCTCATCACATCAGAGCCGATCAAAAATAGCTCTTTCTAGCACGGCTTTTCCTTGTGAAACACTGGCTGCTGTTGCCATGCAGATGTTATGATTATAACTGAGGAGAAAAAAGGGGGCCTCAAGCCAAAGGAAAATACGTCCTTAAAATAATCTACCAAAAAGTATAAAAAAAACCCAAGGGAGGCTATGAGACAGAACAAATCTGGAGGGCAACAGCAGAGGACTGCCGCCGTGCTGGGATGCGTCACGCAGGCTTGGGGTCACCCAGCTCACAGACCGATTTGATGCAACCTCCTCTCTTCCAAATCTCCACCTGCAGGCAGAAAACACGCTCCCAAGTTGCAACCCAGAGCAGATCTAGCCATGCAGCCCAGATGCCACGACCAACTGGGTGTGAGCTGTCCCTGATGCTGCATCATCTGCAAGAGGAGAAAAAGGCAACCCTTTGCCCAGCATGAGTTTCCTTCAGAAACAGCAGTAAATTTAACCCTTAAAAGGAGCTGGGGGTGAGAACGCTCAGCAGAATGAAACTGAGACGACACCTCCTGCAGGTCACCCTGATACAGCTGTAAAAAGAAAAGAGAAGGAAGACATCCTGGGTACTTCAGTGCCACGATGCAGATGAACTTCTTGGGAAGATGACTGAGCGCACTCGTCTCTTCGAAAAATTGCCATCAGCCTCCTTCCCTTTGCTCAGTCCTGAAACGTGCAGGGACCAGCCTCCACCTGGGCTGGCCTCACCAGCAACGCAGCAGCCCCAGGAAACCTTTCTGGGCAGACAGGTCCCTGCACAGCTGGCAGCCGACCCTTCCCTCCTCAAATACACCCACCTAGAACCACCTCTTCCCCCACAGGAGCCGTGGCGTGAGCTGCAGAACCTGCAGGGCAAAGGGTCCTAAAGAAGGCACGCGGTGTACTTCCAGCGCAAGCGGATCTTCTTTCCACATCCACCCACAGAGCGCATCCCCGGCACCAGCAGCTCCCTACCCTGCTCCCACTGCGGCTTCTCATTCCTCCATCCCTTCCTGACTTCACCAAGTTTTCCAAAATTAGAAGTTGGGCTCATCCCTCCTTTCTCCCCACAGAGGGCGAGTTCTCCAAGAGAGGCGACAGCCAGCAAAGCCCTGAGCTCTTAGCTGGGAACCTACTCAGAGAATACTCCGTTACCTTACTGCTCTTAGGAGTTTAAGTGAATATAAACATCTGATAAGGTTTTTTGCCTTTCAGCAACAGAAATTTAATCTTCTGGTATGAAAGAAGGCAGTGAGGAAAGGAGATGAAAGCCAGGTTTAAAATCAGTTAAATCATTCATTTTCTGCAACCAATTATTAGGTCAGGGAACATCCAACTCTAACACCTGAAACTGGAAGGTACCAGTACGGAGCTGAGCTATAAAAATCTACTTGGTCATCATTTACTACCCGCCTACTTGCCTTTTATCAGTGCAGGATTGCTACCAGTTGTTTATTTCCTAATAAAAACTGTAATTATGGGGCTTCCAACATTTCATCTGTCTCAGTTCCTCAAAAAGGTGGGGGGGAAGAAAAAAAGCCTCACAACTGCAAACAGCATCACAGCACGCAGCAGCTTACAAACAGCTCGAGTGAGCCATACGCAGAGCTGCCATCGGAGTTCTACAGGACTTGGCGTGGGAAGCTCTACCAACCACACCGACCTTTGCCGAGGTGAGTGTTGATGGACATGTATCGCGCCGTTCCAGTTAAGCTCTTGTGTTCCCTGTAAGGTATGTGTTTTTTGGTTTCCGGGTCGATGTACTCCTTCGCCAATCCAAAGTCTATGATGTGAATGACGTGCTCTTTCTTGTTGCCTTGCCGGCCAATAAGGAAATTCTCTGGCTTGACGTCTCGGTAGATGAGGTTCTTCGAGTGCACGTACTCCATCCGAGAGATCTGCGAAACGACAAGGCAGAAGCTGGTCACGAGCGGAGCGGCTCCCGAGGCAGCAAGGTTTGGTTAGCCCATCGCCGACAGCTCAGCGCTACCTCACGTTTCAGCTGCTCTACGAGACACGCGCCAACAGATGGAGGGAAGGAATTAAGGCAGCAGTTCCACTCAGAGCTGGGTCGCATCCTCCCATGCCGAGTGGGAAGAGGAATTTGTCATCCCCTCCTTTCTCCGGCTATCGTACTGTGCTCTCCGACTTTATTCCTACACTGCAAAGGCTGTTTCTGAAACATTACCACCGGGACGCAGCTCTTGGAAGGATGCCACAGGGAACTGCAGCAGCCTTTTTGTATTGATTCAAACATCCTAAACCGCTTACCAGGAGCTCTTCCCTTGCCCACAGCCTTCTCTTGTTGCTCTGCATCTCACCACCTCCCTCCCTCGACCCATATGTTGTCTTAGACACGCCAGATTCTCCATGGAGCGGGATTTTTGGGCAGGCAGAAGCCTTATGATCCTCAGCGCTGACTAAAAATAATAATTAATCTCATCGGTTGTCAACTAGGATATTGCTGGGATATCTTTCAGGCTTTGACTAACTTTGTTCTGGCAGTACAACTGAGACGGGAAGGTAAAAGGGCAGGAACCCCACTTCCACGGCGACAGAGGGCCATTTCCTGTCTAAGAACGCGCCTCATTCAGATGTTCATCATTAATACTGCTTTTGAAACTAAGAACACTGCAGGTGGAGTGTGAATAGGTCACCAAGCAGCTCTCCTTTGCCCTCCTAACTTAATAGATGATTCCAATTGGAAATAACTCACAATGCCATTGAATTTATTCTCCTTTTTAGGTTTTAAATGAAAACGTGAATTCCCATGTATGGCTGCCCTGGTCTGCAGGACACTTCTTGGGAAAGGCCACTGGAATCTCCCCCAGCTGCATGCAGGCACGCAACACTTCAAAACTGTTGCAAAGCTCTGGCAACCTCCAAATTTTGCACTAACGAGCCTCAGTCCGCAGAGGTCACTGCTGCACTGTTGCGGGGGACCTCACAGCGTGCTGCTATGGGATTCGGGCAACACCTAAGGTGGGAGCCACTGGCTGGTTACCCCCCGCTCCAGGGAGCTCCCCACAGGGTGTCCCAGTTCTTGAGCAGTTCTGCACTGGGTTGATGCTGGCAGGACAGCTCCGCACCTCCGGCACGGGGCAGGCCGGAGCACCAATCACCGAATCGCCAAGCCAGCTCTCCCCCAGCCCAGCAGTAACCCCGGGTCAGTCCTTCCAGCCCCCCTCACCTCCACCACAAGCACTGCTGGGCTGAGAGACCCCGACTGCTCCTTGGATCCAGACACATTCTCAGCTGGCAAAGCCACATCTCCCTACAGATGTTGGATCCACACCTGGCTGAAAGCTCCACACACATGCAATCACTCCATCCTGCTCCCAGCAGTTTAGCAGATACCTTATTTTTAAGGAAAACCTGTTGCATTTTCCACCACTCGGAAAGAAGGAACAGGCAGGAGGGGGCAGCACTCCTTAGAAAATAAACAACGCTGTACCGGGAGGGCAGCAGACAGGAAAAAATGGACTACAGGTGAATCGATCTTAAAAAATAGGACTTGCTCAAAGGCTTTTCAAAGAAGGTAACGGCACACGTTGCTGCTCCCCTCCCCTCTAAGCAGCCATTTATTTCAATGTGCCGAGCAAATGGGTTTCACAGCTAACAGCCATTATTCCTAATCAATTATAGGATGATGCAGAGCAGAGCTCACGCTCTGCACTTCAGCCATTCTTCACGCTTTGAATCACCTACAGGACACAGCCGCAGGTTGGAAGACAAAAAGGTGTGTCAGGAGGCAATTCAAATGAAGATGCAACCCTTAAAACTGGAACAAAGCGTTTCCTCGCCTCTCCGTACATAATAAGCATTCAAACAGAGCCTGGCTGGCTTGTTTGGTTTGTCCCTGCTACCAGAGGAGCTCAGTTGTTATGGCCAACGGAGATTACACAACCTGAAAAAAAAAGCTTATTTTTGTTCCTTAAAAATTCACAGCAAGTTGCATTGGCCGGGACAGCAACTTGGGCAGTTGAGATGTCAGATGACCCGAAGCAGCACTTAGAGACACTTATTTACCTGCCTTTTTTGCTTCCACCACACACACACAGAGACGCTGTTGGGTCTTTTATTTTCCTCTTTATTTACTTCCAGCTGCCCGGATGCTTCCTGACGTACTGCCAGAGAGACACACACAGCCCACGACAGCTGACAGACGCTCTCCACGTCAGACAGATGTTCCCTGCGGTAACCTCCACGCTTTATTCACCCTGACACGACACTCGCCCTGCCCGTGGCTGTGAGCGACGGGGAGCTGGTGACCCTGCGCTGCATCCCAGGCTTGCCGCCCCGGAAGAAACGAGGCGTGCCGGTGCGGCGCAACCTCGGCCTCCTCAAACCCATGGCACAGCTGAGGGAGAGGAGAAGTGCTGCTCCCACTCCAGAAACGTGCTGGGTGCAGAGACGCGGTGCCCGCTCCTCTGTGTTTGAACTACAGGCTCTGATGTCTGCGCATTAATTCTTCTACAGACAGAGAAACCACTGCAAGGAGCCGGGACTAACGGCTGGAATTGCTCTGACGCTGGAAAAAGTGACTGCGAAGCAGTGTTAACATCTGCTCCGTGATTTTAACAGCAGTAAGAACAGACTGGCATTTTATCACAGGGCACGATGGGAGACTGCTTGTGAATTAAAGCAGGATTTCCATGGCCACAGCTGGCTGAGACCATCTTCAGAGCCACAGATCTCCACTGCACATGTCAGAGAAACCCCTCGGAAGGGGAAGCATCCCCTAGCACGCAGCAGGACCCCTGTGCCACGGCTGAGAAATCAGAGGATATTTGTGACATTGAACCAAACGCCAAAGAAACCCATGCTTTTATCTTCCGTTCTCCTGCCAAGGAAGCAAGTGTAATAAACCCTCTTCCCTTGGAAAGGTAATTCTTAAGGATCTGATCTCAATGGGAATCCCAATCTCTAGATTCTCCTGATAAATTTGAGCCCTTCTTCCACACATCACCTGCTTGAATATAGATCATATCAGCAGAGATAAAAATTCCTCCTGTTTCAAGGCTGTTTTAGAGTCTCTTACACAAGACAACTTTGATGGTCACTCCTCAAAATATTTTTCACCATGACTTGGTCCAGACCGCAGCCAGAAGTTTTTGCACGGTGCCTGGCACAGTGGACCTTGTCTCTGAGAGCAAGCGCTCACAGCGAGGGTGAAAATAACATTTACTCCTGACAAAACTGAGTTGTCAGTGAGCATCGCACAGGTTGGACTTGGCCAAGAGTGAATAAAAAAACCCCATTCTCCCCCAGCCCAAACACCAAGTCAGCTCTGCAAAGCCCTAAGATGATTTCAGATTTATGGGCTTTAGGGACTGACGTTAGTTTTTCATTGCCAAGCTTTGCTTCGTTCAGGAACGACTACCACCTGATCTGTGCAGCTGCACGTGGAGGGTGGAGGAAGCAGTTCCAGTTTGACGCTCGTAGCAGAGCAATGCGAAGTATTGGAGAGGCCCAAGTTACAGCAGTAACAGACCTGGAAAACTTCCACCGGGGAAGCAAAACAGACTCCTTCAATGCAGGTTTTCACTGAGAGGTATGAAGCGGTGTCTCAGACCCAAAGAGTTTCTGATTCACCTCAAGCTGTGTTCGGTAAGCTGCTACCACAGCTCTGACCACGACGCACGCTTTCCAGAAGAACACGCAAGCCTAGTGACAAACCTGAGGGCTGTGTGGCTCATCCCCATGCCGAGGCAGACCTTCCTACTTCTCATCTGAAAAGGTTCCAAATCAGGCTCTCCTTGAAGATTCATTATTGTCCAGTCTCTATCTCCCTCAGCCAGGAGCGTCTTCTTGACGTAAACCCATGTTTAAATTCTCCCATAATCAGAAGCGTCTCTCCTTAAGACAACGATGATAGATTTGTTTCTCCCAGAGGGCTTCTCTTTCTTCTAACATCTGTAGAGTTAAGGGATCCACCCCAGTCCCGAGATGCTGCTACCTGTCAAGCTAAGTAAGACCAGCCAAGCATGTATGCCTATTACAAACATCTCCCAGGGATGCCTCTGGTTAAAAACTGACCACCAGACACAAAAAGATCAAGTGCCACAACACCGCATCCAAAGTTCCTGCCCAGTTCAGCACGCAGCACGCGTGTGTCAGAGATGGGCGGCGGCAGGGGTCAGGCTTCAGGAGGGAGAGGCGGGAGAAGGCAGCTAAATGGGACCCTGAAAGCAGCAGGTGGCTGCTGTCGGGCTGAGCCTGCAGCAGGCCGTGGCAGGGAACCACGCCAACAGCAGAGAAAGGATGGAATAATCCTAAAGACGTGGGGATCATTACATGCAAGTGAGGGGAGGGGTCAAAGGGGTGGACACCACATCCCACTAGCTCAGAGCACCCCGGTTGCTATGCTGTTGCTCCAACAAGTGCCAAGAAATCCACGGCAGACACTTCCTTCCTTCCACTCCGGAGAAGATGAAGCCCGAGGCAGGAGAAGCAATGCAATGGTGACTCCCAGCATGGGGGTCATCTCCTGGGAGCTCCCTGACCTCCATGCTGCAGAGGGGCCTCCCAGATAATTAGTATTGTTTTACCCTTGAGTCATATTCCTGGCTTAAAAAAAAAGTAATTTGATGACATTTTGGTGAGAACTGAACCAGAGAAGCAGTTTTCTGCAACATGCTCACTCCCTACATCAGGGCAGGGTGCTCCTCTCTGCTGTCGGGTGGTCTCGGGCCATTCACCTTTTTGGAAGTCTCACCTGGATATCAGGCTTTGTTAGCAGGGATGTCAAGCACCAGAGGAGCGAAACACTGCTTGTGCAACGCACTGGATTCTGGCAGTGAAGCCTCACGTCCCCTCACGCCTGCAGTTAGAATTGCAGCAGCTTAAGCAGGCTTGGCTGGTCAAAAGCAAGAGCAAAACATAATTTACGGCGGCGAACCCATTGAATCCGACAGTCCAACTTCCCTTCTCTGATGTGTCTCTCACTCTAGAGCGTGACACAGTGACTGCAATGATTTAGTGTAGGAACTAAGATAAATCTAACACATTTTCCCCCAAAGCCTGGGGGCGGAAGGGTTTTCATTCCAGTTGAGCAGTGCCAGCCTCTTCAAAAGACACGTCTTTGAGGGCCAGGTGAGCCAGGAAACCTCCCAGGGAAAGCGATGGGGCACACCTGAAGATGCTAACTCTGCCTCCTTAAATGCATACACTGCAAGCTGGTAACTCGTGTAATCTTCCTGAGAAGACTGGAAAGATCCCCATGGAAGAAGGAGCAGCACTGCCTGCTCCCTCTGGAGACCCTCAACTCCTCCACTGCTTTGGTGTCCCCCTGCATCACCCCAAGCATCTGTTTTTCAAACTGATACCAGCGTCTAGACGAGTTGGCAGGCCAGCGAGGTCACAAGATCAGCAGATGATGCCAGTGAAGACTGTCCAAATACAGAGCTAATCTGCAGCCCTAGGGCTTGGCAAAAGACAGACGGACACTGCCGTGAGCATCTTGATGTCCCCTGCGGTCACATGGGAATAAACGTACATCTTTACCTCTTACATCTTTACAGCCCAAAGGTCATACAAGCTATAGCCGGGGCTTTGCCATCTGTTGCCTCTTGATTTAATCAAAACCAACACTATAAATTGGTTTTGCGCTGATGAAGGAACACTCAAAGCCAACAACACTAGACTGCCCAGCCATAGGAAGACAACTTCATGAACCCAATACCAGGCAGGTGCTGTTCAAACTTCTGCATCCGTGACCTCAATTTTCCATTTGAGATTTTACTGTGGCAAACTTCAGTTTATTTAGAAAGGATTATGATCCTCACTCCCTCACCATCTTCTCTTTCCTTCAACACTTCCACCCACCGGTCCATTAACGTGAATACACCGTTCCACCTCTGCTGTGCCACTTGGGTATCTGCACACCACAGGTTGAAAACCAGAAAGCCAAACTGAAATGGTAACGAAAGACTGGCCCTACCAACTTGTGGAATTTCACTCGCCACGTTTAGTATCTTCAGTTTCACGGCGTCCACTTTTAATGCAAACACAAATCCAAGCTACCACTTCCAGCTTGGTGAAAGCTTTCCTTTTCAGCCAAATCAGGAGCTCTGGGATGCTGCCTATAGATCTATTATTTTCCAACTGTTAGTCATTTAAACCCCTTGGCCAATTTTAACCAAACCTGACCAGGGCGGAGACTGCGAATGCTGGTAGTTTGGCTAAGGACAGCTCAGCTCCCATTGCTCTGAGAGGTTTCAGTCTACGAGCAGCCTGGTAGCACCAAACCAGTAAAACTGGTAGGTGTGGGAGGGTGCTGTGCTCCCTGTGTCCCAGGGAGTAGGTAAGAAATGAGATGTTCTAGGAGATGTCCAAACAGGGGGAGGGAGCTGGGGTAGATACTGGGGAAGGGGCGTGTAGGGGACACAGGGCACAGGTCCATAGGTATCCAGCCTCACTGGCTGTGCTATGCAAGGAGCAAGTTTGCTCACAAGCATTACTTGACCTGTGCTTCATAAAGAAGGGCTTTCCTCAAACCTGAGCAGCTTTCCGAGAAAGATGGAGACACTTTTTACCAAGGCCTGTAGGGACATGAAAGGGGCAACGTTTTTAAACTGAAATGTAGGTTGGACATAAGTAAGAAATTCTTCACGATGAGGGTGGTGAGACACCGGCACCGGCTGCCCAGAGAAGCTGTGGATGCCCCGTGACTGGGTGTGTTCAGGGTCAGCCTGGACGGGGCTTTGAGCAACCTGCTGTAGTGAAAGATGTCCCTGCCCATGGCAGGGGGGTGGGACTAGATCTTTGACGGTCCCTCTCAACTCAAACCAGTCTGTGATTCTACAACAGAAGGAGATTTTCTCTCCAACCAACAGACAGCCCTGAACCTCACCCACCCTTCAGCTAGCCCAGGACTGACATAAACCCGAGCTGGCATCGTGGGGGCTGCGGGGCTCAGCCCTGCCCGCTGTTACTCACCAGTTGGATGGCTATCATTAATACCGTCTTCAAAGTGAACGTCCTATCACAGAGGTCAAATAAATCTTCCAAGCTGGGACCAAGCAGCTCTAGTACCATGGCGTTGTACTTTCCACACGGCCCGAAGTAATACACCTGGGGAAGCCCTTCAGCTGGAAGAATATGAAAAGAAATCAGTCAACAGGACAACGTTAATACCCTTTCTCCTGCATGTAAATTTTTTGCTGGGCAGATCCTTTATTTTTACTTCTCGAGTGTCCTTTCTGTTTGATCTTGCCCAGCAAACAAATAAGCTTCAGCACGCACTGTGAATGAACTGAGGGCCGGATCAGCGCAGGCTTTGCTCAGCTACACCCTTGAATAGACAAATGGATTTCAAAGCAATAACACAACCACATGAAAGCGTCTCATTTTGGCAGCTGAAACGCTTGGACTTAGGGAACAAGACATGGAGTTCCCTATGCTACACTAAACACCAGGCAGAGTACAACCCCAAATGTGGGCTGGCACTTGTCTGAGCAGTTAGGAAGATGACAGCCCTTGCAGAAAATGAGGCACGTCTGAAAAAACGGCTGCTCTCCAACCGAGATAATACCTAGCTGTCGTTTTCAGCACAACCTTACACAAAGTTTACTCTTATTATACTCATGAGAAAGGTAAAAAAAAAATTCCTTTAAAAAAAGAGCAAAGATTTACATTCTGACCCATCCCCATGTAAAAATAAGCAATCATCGTCTCTAAGCATATGTGCAAACCGTTTTGCTGTGAGCTGCACACAAAACTCTCAACACCCAACCCAGTAGGAGCCAGAGCCTACCCTTCCCACCCAACAGCTCAGCAACAGATTTCTCAGCAAGAGTACGCAATATTTACACTCAGCTGACAGTGCCTTTTTGCGTGGATTAGCTTTCTGAAAGGCACCAGAAGAAAAGGGAAGAAAACCTGCTTCAGTGTCTGAGCACTCACTGAGCTGCACAGGGCTCCTTGAATCACCTTTTAGTCAAAAATTAACATCATATCAGCCCGTACAGGGAGGAATTCAGTGCAGGGCTAACTGCAAATCTTTCTAATGAGTATCCAGCCCTCCCGGCATCAGTATCAAGCTGCGTCATGTAGAAAAACTGCATTCCCGCTCTACATCTCATAAGCAGTTCCAAAACACAACGGAAGGGATTTTGTTTTGAAATACGGGGTTTTGTCCTATGTCAAAACAGCATCTTTGCTCGAATACACAAAACACGGCATCCTGCTATTCGGTGTAAAGGCTGGGCACGGGACGGGGAGCACTACTGTGTACTCATCCTTTTTCCCCAAAATGACAGAGAGATCTGTAAATTATACAGCACGGGGCCTGACAGCATGGTGACCATAAATGCTGTGGCACGTTTTAAGTAAACGTATACACGCACCTATAGCTACGTAAGAGATCAATATTAAAAATAGCGAAAAACCTCATGAATTCAAACCCCAGAACTGAATCGCTTGTGTCGCTGCACTGATCTGTACGTGCTCCGTAGCCCAGCGCAGGTCAGTGCAGCAGAACAGGGAACGGCTAAGGCTGGAGTGGCACCAACACAGTCACTTTATGTCCCACTGGAGATTTCGGAAAGCCTCGTTAATCTGTCCGACAGCACTCATCAACTTGCCAACATACAATAAGTGCAGCACGGAGATTACTACAGCTTAAATATCACAGAACTTATGCTCCCGTGTATTACTCAAAAAGAACAAAATGCAGCTCGCCAAAGATTACCATGAGATGGTTTTAATCGCATTAATTCCCATGCTTGGGGAATCATAGTAGGTATCAGTCATCAGGACGCACTAATGAGATATTACAGGGTATTGCAGGAATTCCCAGTCTAACCGGAGTTTTGTGTCCTACGTAAAACGTTTACCCAACCTGGTCTTGGGAGGCTACTGCTCCTAACAGAGCTTTGTGTTTTAGGAAGCACGAACAGCAATTAAAGCCCTCCAAGAAAACAGGATGGCTTGATGCAGAAGCAATTCGGAAAGCGGAACAATGATGGGACATGACCCAGGCAGCTCCAAAACATTTTCAAATAGTCCCAAACCAACATGACTGATGATTTCGTGCCATCAGCTTAGTGCCGAAGGCTTGAATAATTGCAACGGCTCTTGAAGTAACTCATGGTGAGCCCTTGAGTTTTTAGTGAGATCTGATGAGGTCTTACCTACGTTACCTCTAATACCAAGATGATAATTTCTATTTTTTGAAGAACAGAATAATAGAATAACAGAATATTCTGTGGAAACTTTAAAACTAAGACCACTATAAATTCAAGATATATATACAGTGAGTACTTCTACCACAGTTTTCACATGAGGATAATGGTCTTGAAAAGTGCAAATCAGGAAGGAAACCACTTGGATTAGGAGTGTGCTAATTAAGGTATACGGGAGAGTAAAATTGAAGAGAGGCTCTTAGGGAAGGCAAAGAATCCCATTCCCAGAGCAAGAGGAAAAGAGTAAATTTACAGCCTTATTTGGTGAAGAGAGAGAGCATTGCAATTAAAATTAAATCCCCACTGGACATAAGAACCAGGAAGATAAACTGCAGTTAGGCCCAAAAGATGGAGATTTCACGTAGAAACGGAAGCAACACAACTATTTGGCGCTCTTTGGGGTTTTAGCTTTACCCACTCGAAGCCTTATGAGCCAAGAGTACCCCACGACCTCGGAGTCCCCTTCTCAGCTTTAAACCTCAGGAAGGCTCTGCAGTAGGTGGGAGCTCCTGCAAGGTGAAGCTGTAGCGGAGAACATTAAAAAAAGCATCCTAAGTGCCAGCCTACAGAAGACATTATTAGTTTCAGGCATATTTTTAGGGTTCGATTTTTTTCTGAGGGTTTGCAGCAGTGACGCTGCCAGCTCTGCAGTCAAGGGCTCACCTCTTCCCTTTGCTGGAGTAAAAATGCTGTAACGTATATCTCGTTTTCAGGCCCAGGCTGCATCATACACACAGCCTAGACCCACAGGAGCATCGCTGACAGCCCTTCGGAGCCCCCCAGCCCAAGCCAGGGCTCCTCAGCTCCACACTGCTTACTGGAATGAAGCGATGAGGGACACAGGGCAACGCACCCTCAGCTTACTCAGTCGCAACTCAACGTTTAGGTTGATAAGAGAAGTTGTATGGTTGATGCAAATATTAAGGCTTGATGCCTGCAGGATCCAAGCAGGCAGACGCAGCTAGATGATTTCAGGGTGCTTCTCTGCAAACTTGAGATGCAGGCATCTCTGGACCCATTCTTCTTATGAACAGTAAAAAGGGGCAGCCTAAAAAAACATACGTAACATTTTATTTAATCGCAGCCCATCTGCATAATTCAGGACGCAGCGCGGCTCTATTTCGGCAACTAGCAACATGCCCTGGTCCCACCGCGTGCGTCCGTTGCCACGGTGAACCACAAGAACTCCACAAACATCACCAGTCGATCTGCAAATACTTAAGAAGGATGTTGCCAACAAAAGGGATTGATTGAAGAAAAATGTATCTTTTGTCTGGGCAGTCAAATTTGAGGTTTTTAATAGCAAGCAATTGTGTCGGAAGAGGACTGAGAAGGTCAAACAAAGCCACAATGCTGTAAAAGTCTGTCCTAGACGAGCAGTTCTGGATTCAAAGAGTGCAGGATAAAAAGCCACGGGCAGAACAGAGGTCTCCTCTTGAGGATTCAAAGGCACAACTCAACACTTGAAATACAAACCATGAGCAGTTTAATGCAATTAATGTATGAAATAACATCTAAACAATTAATTTCTCCAAGGCATTATACACGACCAACGTATTAAGGCAAGAAAATCTAGGCATGATGTGTGCAGGTTCTCCTTTGTAAAAAAAGCAGCCCGTTTCTGCTTGCAGCAGCGCTCACGGTAAGCATCTGATTTTGCTTAGCGGCTTCAGTCTTGCTGCTGAGTGATTTGGCCTGACTATATGTAAAAGGCCCCGCTCCACCCTTGCTCTCGTGGAAAGTTTATCACCCCAATAAACACAGACTGATCGCTGCACTGGAATCCACAGGCAAATTCTGCTATTTCAGCAGTGCGATGACTTGGAAAAAATTCAAGCTGAGCACAGCAAAAGCCTAGCATAGCATTTTGGAGATTAAAGCATCGCGGCTGGAACGAGAGCAAATGCAGACATCAAAGCTGAAAACTCAGACTTCGCTCCACCGCGCTCCCGTGCAGCCACGTGACCCTGGCTTTGGGTTTCCTGAGATGCTACAACTAACTGCTCCTGCGGCCTGCCTCCAAAAGGGACCGTCCCATCCCCACCCCACCCTCACCCATCCCGCCGCCTACCTGCGCTCACGTGGCCAAGGAGTATGTTGGATCAACCCTCGGAAAAACTGTTAGTGTTTGCTTAGCTTGAATGAAAGAGTGGGAACATAACACACAGCAGGACCAGTGCTCTTGGAGAGGGCGTCATTTGAGCTGGATTAACACCAAGGAACTACACCTTTCAGCAAATTTCCACCTCAAGATCAAGCATCCTGGCTGATTCAAGTAGCGCTGCCTTGCTGCCACACGCTTTACAGCACGACTAACAGCCCTAATAACTCGTCAGCCATCCAGCATACTCCAACAAGCCACGTTAGTCCAGGCTTCAGACCCACAAGTCATACAGACAGTCCAAAGCCATTTCCAGGACAGGTTATGAAATGACAACTGGCAGAGAGATGCCAATCAAAGGTTATGCCCAAGGGAAATCGGATTTTGCAGCGTCTGCCCCACGTGGAAAAGCGGAAACCATCTGCCGCGGCAGAGAATGTGTACTGATGCTCTGTATATGAGCATCATGAGAGGCTATGAATAAACCTTGTGCAACAGCGAGCAGCCCAAAATACACCCAAGAAGAGACGAGGTAGCGAGTGCAGGAAGCGACACGTGGCACCTGCGTCCGCGGAGGCGCAGAAGCCAAGGCCCCGTACATCAAATGTCCAGGAGACAAGTGCAACGTGTGAAAAGTGAACGACACGGGTAGCTTCTGAATCACCTATGGTTTTTGGTCCCGTGGGAAACTGGTTTCCACCACCCTTCAGTATGGTGTGGCCAAATAAAGAGAAGCTGACATCTATTTCAAGCAGTACAGAAGAATTTTGTAGCCTCTCTTCACGTAGGCTTCAAAGCTGAGCTC